ACGGCTTTGGAAGTGGCCTCCTTCTGCCGCTGCTGGAACTCCGAAGATGAGAGGTATGCCTCGACCCCCTTAGAGTTCCCCTCCTTAAAGCCCGCCTTGAAGCTGCTGGACTTCTCATGGGAGATATTATCCTCGAGGGACCGCACCTTCGCCTTCTCGACCTCCAATTCCATCGAGAGCTCGTCCTGGACAGTGCGAAGGGTGCTAATCTCCTTTTCGGCGGCCGCCGACGTCTTCTCGCCCTTGAAAAGGGTCTCCAGCTCTACATAATTCTGGAGAGCAAGCTCGAGGGCCTGAACTCCAGAAGGAGAAAAGAGTACGGTCAAGATGGATAAGCCCGACCTCAAGAAAGAGATAAGGCTGCTGCATACAAGCAGATGAAAAATAGTGATAGCAGTCGAGGTCAAGGCTTACCGAGAGTTGATGCTTCACGGTCAGGCGCTGCCAATCTAGGATACTCTCCCTAGCATAAACATCCCAGGTCTCCTCGTGGAAGAAGGTGTATATGGCCTGCAGAGGAAGGCTGAAGCGAGGCGGGAGGTGCAGAGCGTGAGTGAAGTCGAGGTCGACAACGTCGGGCACAAGGAACATGGGGTCATCAACCTTTGACCCCGGCAGCAGGACAGGCTCAGGGGGGAGGGGGCAGAACCGCCAAGTTTGTAGCGACCTCGGCGCCTTTGTTCTTCTCGAGGCGTCGACCTTGCCCGGAAGACCCCACGACTACAAGAGAAACTCGTGGCTTTGTCACCTTTTGCCTCTTCGGGGGGGGAGGGGGGGTTCAATCACGAATACCCCCTTTCTAGGGGTTACAGTGATGCCGGGTGAGACAACGGCCTCGACTGCGCGCTGGCTCGACGTCCCGCTCAACTCCGCACCGGTCTTGCTCTTCCTTAGCATGGCGGGGATGTTGTACTTCATCTCGGATGGCACGGCTACACGGAAAAGAAGAGACCAATTTAGGGACACCTCAACTACACCCCCCCCCCCCCCCCCCCCCCCCCCCCACCGAGCGTAGTAAAGCAAAATAAAGAGATTATAGGGAACGAGCAAACTTACCGTTGAGGAGATCCGCAGGAGGAACTACCGGTCGACGCAGGCGAGGAAGATCTACGACAAGGCCGTACAGCAGGCGGTTCTTCCTAGTGTTGAGGATTGAGGCATGTCGACGATCGAGGGAAAGGGACAATATCTTCTCGACGCGAGCGAGAGCGGTTGAGGAGAGCCTTGGGCGATCGACTTCGTCACCTACGAGTGGGAAATAGCAAGTGACAGAAAGCTCGATAGCGGCACAAAAATCTCAAAAAAGAAAGGGAAAAGGGAGGGAACCTACAGTATTTGCTGAATACTATCTGAGTCCCTAACGGTCGCTCACCGTCGAGGGGGTGAGAGTTGAAATTCCCCGCGAGGAAGAAAAATTGGGGCTTCCACCCGTGAGCGCTGGTGGTCTTCCCGACGACCACGGGTGGGACAGGAGGTTTGGACTTAGCATGGGAGGCTATGTAAAAGAATCCCCTTTGATTAGGGGAGGCCCGGAGGGAGTAGCAGTGCAAGAATTCCTCGACGGTTAGGTCGAGGCTCAAAAATTTCCTCCATAGTATTATCATGGAGTTTATTGTCACCCAACAATTGGGAGACAACTGTGCGAGAGAGATCCTGTGGAGGCTGCAGAGGGCCTTCACGAACGAATGGAAGGGCAGAGTTAGCCCAAAGGTGTGAGTGCTCGGGTATACACGGTCATGTGACTGGGGGGAGGGTTGTGAGCCCTGTCGTTGGGGGTTGGAATGATCAAGTAAAAGTGCAGGGGGTCGATCCCTGTGTCGGTGAATGCCTTCCTAGCAGTGTGGGGCCTGATCTTTGACGGGTCGAGGTCTGTGGCCAGCCACGAAAGGGTATTCATCGACACTGCCCCATACCCTCGATCCCCGGGGGAACCGACATGTGGGTCAACACCCTCATCGTCGAGGAGTACGAGTACGTCCTGTTGAGAGGTTGAGGCTGACGCCTCAGCGTACTCCTCGACTTGACGAAGCAAGGAATCCCCGCTTCCACCCGAAGATGTGCTCGAAGTCGCGACATCTTCAGGATCCTCTCTGACCCTGTGCTCAGAGACCTCTCGACCTCTAGTCTGCTTCGACGACATGTTCTGGAAAAAGGCAAACAATGGGGCGAGTTAGCTCCTAGTGGTCGAGAGGTCAAAAGTGCAGGGTAAGAGGAAAAACAGAATGCGCCGCGAGTCCCGGAGGCACAAAGCTAAATCCGGCGGCCTCAGCGGCGCCTAGACAGGTCAGGCAGTGTAGGCTCTGCCGTCGGTGCAAGGCCGGCGGCATCAGGCAAGACCACTTTCCCTCCTTACAGTGCGTTTTGGCACAACTGCCGCAAACAATGGAACCGAACCTATGGGAAGAACAAGGGGAATGAAGACTTACCGGATTCTGAGGGCAAAAGACAGTCCAAATGCGGAAGGATGCACGGAGGCAAAAGCTCGGGTGAAAATCCGGCAGAGTAACGACGTCCTGAAAGCTCGACGGTCAAAAAAATGAAGGCATGTGGATATATATACCCGCCAGAGGAGAAGTCCGGAGGTCCCCGAGGAGTCCAAAGGGCTCCAGATCTCGACCGTAGGATCTGATTTGGTCCCATCCGATGGTAGATCTGAGAAGGCACGATCGAACGGTCGGGGAGAGAGCAAGAAGAAAAGACTCGATCTAACGGCGACGATTCATCCCTCCAGTTCCACGTGGCACTAGGGAATTGGAGATGTGACGGTTGATACAATCGACGTGACTGCTCCACTGCCTAAGAAACCAACCGCAATGATGCCCTGTGCCTACGAACAACCGCCCTTACTCACAAAAAGGCCTCGTTTCCACGTGGCATCCTCGACGCTATATAGCCCGGAAAGTCACACCGTGACGTTCCGGTCTAGGGGGTAATTGTTACACCATGGTCGAGAGATCGGCCACCCTCTTGAACGACAGACGCCGGGGACTCCCCGCAGAGGATCGATCGCTGGCGCCGAGGGAACGCCACTATCTACGTCGAGAGACCATGCGTGGGAAGGGGCGTCGGGCGCAATGACTCGGCCTTCGGAGGCCACGGCGCCGAGGTAGCACTGTCATTTTTCTCTACCAGCTGTCTTGTCAACTCGAAGAGGGAAGTATTGATTCGATTGCTATTGCAAAAGTCAGGAGGTCAAGCGGCAGATAGGAAGGATCAGCCGCATTCCCCGGGACAGTCATCATGAAAACTCACCTACCCTCACGCCTATCGAGGACAGAGGATGGCTTCCTCCTTAGGAATGGAGAATACACATTCACATGTAAAGGCCTATAAATAGGGCCAAGAAAACCCAGAAAGGGGTTAGACACTAGGGCATTACCACGAGAAAGCTTGTAAACACCAAAACAAATTAGTGCATACACAAGTGGAATAGGCAAAAGAGTTATTGCCGAACCACTATAAAATTATTGTCTCGTTTATATTACTTTCCTGCTTTTTATCTCTGATTCAGTCATTAATGCAACCGTGAGTGTTTTTGGAGAGGCAATTACGAGTTGTCAGAAAAACACCGTCAACAAATTGCAGCAATGGCATTTGTGTAGTGGTTTTCGACTGAGGATGGACAAAGGCAGCAATGGAGTTCAAACAGCAGAATAAATTGCAGCCGAATAACATTATATGGAATTCTATAATCACAATAATTCACTCTATTGTGAATCAAAACATATCATGAACAATTATATTAATATAAATTAATAAATGCATGTATGTCAAAAATCGGTTCATAGTAGAATGAACACTCAATTTATTGACTAATTTGAAGCTCATGAGCTCCTTGAATCACAATATTCAGTCAGCCCATCCAACTAAATACTATCTCCATTGAATATTGGTTAAAGCCCAATAGGCCCATTTTGTTTAATACAGGCAGCACCTGCTTTTTGCTTTTGGTGTGCTTGGGGCATTTGGTGGTGGAGAATGTTTTGGAGAGAGGGAGAGGTAGAGAGGAGCTGTAGAGCCTCTTGCCGTGTTCGTAGGTTCTCTAATGATTTTAGCCGGCCATTGAAGTTTTACGATGACTATAGGCGACTTGTTTCCGCTACCTACCAAAAGAGGTAATCTTCTTTCGTCCATGTGAAATATGTCTAAATCCCAAATAAGTTTTAAAGTATTTTTAGATTTTTTAGCAAGATTAAATTATTATTTAATTTATGTTTAGATCATTTTAAATCTAGCATGTATTCCCTGCTTCTCGTGCATATGGGTCGGTTTATTTAGCGAATTAAAAAGGGACATGTGGCAACTTACTTGAGTTAACCATCATAGAATGCCACGTATTTTTTGTTATATTTTAAGATGACTAGTAAAATTTTATTATGTCTAGAAAGACAATTGTTTTGTCAAAAAGGGTCTACATCCAAAAACAGGAAGTCTCAAAAAGAAGTGATCAAAAACCTAAAATCCTAATTGATGAGACAAATAGATAGATCGATCTGCCAAGGAGAAAATTTTAAGTTTAATCATTATTTTTTCTAATTTTATTATTTATGTCACTATACAATTTTAAAATCATTATAAAAAAATAACCTACGTGTTATAAATTACGAAAGATAACCAACAAACTTATGAAAAATAATATACAAGTCACGAAGAATAACTTGCAGGTTATGAAAAATAACCTGGAAGTTATTAGTGGTATAAAATAAATTTATTATAGTGACAGAAATAAAATAATATTACTTTAATAATGACTTTTTTTTCCTCTCTAACTTATGTGAAGGAAATTACAAACGAGCCAGGATAAGCTATAGTTATAGTGGTCATGAAATTAGTTCAAGAAAACCAGGATTTTAAATAGCAATATAACATTGTTGCAGTACTAGTCTACCGATAAATCCACACCGTTCTTTCAATGTTGGAGGTCTGGTCAAAAGATTAGAATCTCCCTACCCCCAATTCAAAAAATAATAATAAAATAAAATAAAAGCATTGAAACCATACTTTTAACTCAAGCTGATCCAAATATCATGCTTCACACGTATAGCATAAAGTAGATTCATCTCAATAATGAACAATTGAGGGGGCGAAACGAAAGAGACAAAAAGACAACTTTTCTAAGCTTGGTACCGAAATATTTGTCTAAATTTATTGGTCAAAAGAGGTTTAGTTAACCATATAGATCTATACTCCAGCTGAAGAAGGGTGTCCTGTATTTATTCAAGAACGCATACAAAAAGAAACAAAGTACAGACTAGGAGGGTGTTTTGTTAGCTTCCAACTTGTATTTCATCTTCAGCAGGATTTTGATGTTAAAACTACCACTGTAACTACCAAATACTGTCATTGGATATTCCTTATGTCGAGACTCGAACCTATAAACTGTCGTCAAAAGGAAAACCAGATGCAAGTTCTAGTCCCAGCCAGTGGCAACAACAGTTTCATAGCCTCCCCCGTATGCATATTGACCAGCAGCATATGGCTCTGCATTGGGAGAGAGATGATGCTGACTGCTACTAGGAGCGGCACCCGAAACATCACATGGAGAAGCAACATTAGGATCAAAAGAATCTGCACCACCATAACTGCTAGAATAGTAATAGTTTTCGTTCCCTGATGTGGTACTTCGGTAGTCATAGGCGGCAAACTTGCTGCTCCCATGGCGTTGGCCCCCGCTACTGGAAATCGATGTCTCAGCATATTGGTGAAGCCAGTCAGGAATCTCCTGATTGGATTCATTCATGAGTTCGACAAGCACCTTTGCCAGTGGGAGATTCTTCTCGCTGAAAAAAGCAGTTGCAATACCAGATTTACCAGCACGTCCTGTCCTTCCTATCCGATGAACATAGTCATCTATGTCTCTTGGCAGGTCGAAATTAATGACATGCGCAACATTAGGGATGTCCAAACCACGTGAAGCAACGTCTGTGGCCACCATAATTGGAGTAGCACCGCTTTTGAAAGATTTCAGAGCTCGTTCTCTCTCCTTCAAATTCAATGAGTCGACGAATATTATTCCAAGGTAGAAAGAGGAAGCAAAAAGAAATTGTAAAACTAGTCAAGCATAATAATTTTGTGTTGGAAAAAGGTGGTACAAATAAGTTGTTTATACGATGCATCTCATATCTGGTTCTCTTTTTCCTCTTTGGCTTCTTGCCAAAAAAAAAAAATGATAATGGTTACCAAAATAAATACGAAAGTTCGCAAGAATTAACTCTATTGAGGGAAAAAAACAAAAAACAAACATAAACATAACAATCATAAACATAACAATCATAACAAAACAAATTGATAGGCCTTTACTTAGGCAGGTTTTCATTAGGGTGAATATGAGAAAAGAGAATGTAATTTGAAGTATACGCTGTTTTGTTGGTTGCAGTGGGTATTGTATATGGTTGTTAGTTTGTTAGAGGTTATTAGATGTTAGGGGGTTAGTGAGGGAAAGTGTCAGTTACTGGTGATTCTAAGTAGTTAGAGGGTAGTCTCTGATTGTACAATATCCTTAAATGTAGTTTTTCCAATTGTTGTAGTGAACTGATTTATGATAAACCCAAAAAAAAAAAAAAAAAGACTCACTATGCAGCTCGTTAAAAAGATAAGAGAAAAATCAAGCACATTATTGCTGTTAGGAAAAACGTGAAAACATAGAGAACACTAACCATTTGAACTTTATCTCCATGTATCGCGATTGCTGGAAAACCATTCACAGACAGCCAGTATTCCAAGGCATCTGCTCTCTTCTTTGTCTCGACAAAAACCAGGGTCAAAGCATGCTGCAGTGTAAACAATGGAATCCATTCGCTGTCTTAGGAAACAGTCAAGAGCCAGTAGAGGTTTAAGAAAACCATCCAAAATTGGTGAGACCATTGACAATAGCAGAGCAATTTCAAATTCCATACAATAGCATAACAAGTGCCATAACAGAGAATTTCAAAGTTGAAAAGACGCCACACCATACCTTTCCACAGGTTCCATTAACCTTTTGGTCATGAAGAATATGCATTAGATAGTGTCTTTTATCCATATCCTCAACATAGTCAACCTTCTGCGCAATAAGATCAGTGCTTGAACCAACCCTGCCAACAGCCAGAAATACGTAGTTTGAAAGGAAATCCGATGCCAGCCTCTGCAAGACATAGAAAGCAAAACCAAGTTACTCAGATACAGACACACATAATGATGCTTGGAACGTTCCTCCCACTGAAGTCTTATCGGTTTTGCATTAGCAAGAATATTTAGTATGACAAAAAAGTAAAATGAAAAAGCAGAATCACCTGTATCTCACTTGGGAACGTGGCACTAAACAGCATTGTTTGCCTTACTCCTGGCTTGGGCATGTCCATTCTCTCAACAATCTTCCTGATCTGGGGCTCAAAACCCATGTCCAACATCCTATCAGCCTCATCTAGGGTCAAATATTTTATCAATCTCAGTGAAATTCTTCCTCTCTCAATCATGTCAACTAAGCGTCCGGGAGTTGCAACTAGGATATCTACACCTTTTTCCAAATTCCGAAACTACAGAGTCAATAAATAACAAAACGCATCAGCAGGATGACAAAGGCAAAGCATAACAGCGCAATAGCTCATACAAAACTGCCAGTAACCATATTAGTAATCTAATTAAACTAAGGTCCGTTTGGCACAATGCTTTTAGGCAGCAGAAGATGCAAAGTGAACATTATGGCTTTTCGTTTAGTTTTCAGAACCACATTTCTTAAAGTGCTCAAAAGGACAAAAATGACGTTTAAACATTTTAATTAGCAATAAAAATATTATTTGTATAATCTTAATAAAGCTCTGGTACAAATTTCAAAGCCTTCTTTTAGAATAGCATTTTTAAAAAGCCATATTGTACAGCTTACACCGAAAGCTCTCTTAAAGGGCCAAACCAATTCACAGAGAAACCCTCCAAACACTCAAAACAGGCCCGAAACTAAACAAGAAACTTCAAGAAAACACCAAGAACATCGCAAAGGCTCAAGAATAAGCACAAATACATACTAGAATTTCAATCCATAAAACAAAACGGAAAATATATATGACTAGCCATGAAAACTTCAGGTTATCAATATATAACTAACCAAACAAACAAATGCCATCAAAACCCAATGCAAGAAAATAAAATAAATAAAGAAAGAAGGTATTCGACGAAGATGAACAAAACCTGATGAGAAATTGACGCCCCGCCATAAGCAACAACAATTTTCACCCCAGTTTGATAAGCAAACTTCTTTGCCTCGTCATGAATCTACCCAAAAAGCACGATCACAAAAAGACTACCATCAACACCACAAACCAATTAATTAAACAAAAGTAAATAAACATTATATTCCGTAATAAATGGCAACAGATAAAGAAACCAATAGACCTGACTAGCCAACTCTCGAGTCGGAGTGAGAATGAGAGCGCTGGGAAAGCACACGCCCGTCGTCTGACCACCGAAACGGGGCGAACGGCTCTTGATAATCCCACTGATGATCGGGAAGCAAAACGCCGCCGTTTTGCCGGAACCGGTCTGCGCGCAGGCCATGAGATCACGGCCGGCGACGGCGATCGGAATGGCGTGGCGCTGAATAGGCGTGGGCCTCACATACTTGCACCTCTTGATGTTTTCGCTCAACCGCTCCCCCAAACAAATCTCCACGAACGTGTTCGCCGCCGTAGGAATGTCCGTACCGTTCGCCTCCACCGGAATATCCTCGTACGCGTCGAAATTGATTCCTCCTCCACCTCCGCCGCCGCCGCCATTTCCGTCCTCCTCGGAAACTTCTAGGTCGTCGAACTTCTCGCAAACCTCGAATATTTCTTGGCTAAGGCTCCGGCTCGATCCCAAAGATTTTCGGCCGCGGCCGCGCCACTGGCCACGTCGGCCACCGCGGCCTCGACTGCTGCGGCTCGAACCGGCCGAGCCCGGACGGTTCGAGCGGAAACCGTGCTGAGTCGACTCGGTCGAGTACGAACCGTACGAGTTCCCGTTGTCGAACGAGTGCGCGCCATTGTTGACGACGCTGTTCCTGAGGTGGGGAGGGACGTAAGGAACCACGCGAGTCGCGGACTGAGTCGACCCGGTGACGTCGTCGGACCAAGACATTGTCATCTTTGCACTTTCCTGGCGCAGAAATCAAGTCGGAGACAAAGAAAGAAATGGAGTTAAGGCGTACGGATGAATTGCAGGTTGGTTCGGAAATGGGTTTACGTGTTAGGTGAAGAAAGTCTGTAGTATTGTTGTAGTGAAAAGACTGAGCTCCATAACCAAGACCTTCTCTCTCTCTCTCTCTCTTCTCTCTCTCTCTCTCTCTCTCTCTGGTTCTTCTTTTACTTCTCGCGATCACCGTGAAAAAGCCTGCAAAAGAGACGAAGAAAAACCTAAAAAGACCTAGAGAGAGAAAGTCGACACGATTCCCTAGGGGAGAGACAGAGGAAAGTCCGGAAGATATTTCCGTTCACTTTGCTGATTCAAGTTTATAATTCGAGTTGAGATGTGATTTTGTGTGAGAGCTTTTTACTGTAGCAAAAAAGTTAGATGTGACTGTTTCTGAGAATTTTTTACTGTAGCAAAACTCGAATTCTAAACTCGAATCGGTGAAATGAACAGGACCTTAATATTACTCTTTGTTTTACTTTTTTGATTAATTTCACTTTTATCCCTTGATTATTTTTGTGATCTTTTTTGGCCTCGAAACTTCAAAATATAAAAGAACACACCCTAAAGTCTAAACCAATTTTGTGTCCTATGTTCAAAACTCCGTTCATACTCCAACTCACCGGTAAGTTTTAATCGTTACTTATTTGCGTTGCTGGATGATTTTACTGGCTTTCTCAGTGAATCATAAGTGTTGATATGCGAAATGTAGAGGACAGTAGCTTTTTATGCTTTACTCGACCCACATAGGGTAGTTTTTCCTGCTTCCTGGTTGAATTCGAGCCTGGCTTCTGGGTTCTGGTAAACCTTAGTTGTCACGAGCATTTGCCGTCACCATTTTTATATGAATGGTCGACGTTATGTTGAGGTGTTTCAGCAGTCGTTATCTAGAATGGTCGTCGCTTAGAATAACCGTCATTTTTTCCTTCCTCTCGACTTAGGATTTTAACGTAGCTCCTTGTCTTTTTTATTACCAGAACAATGGCCTCAAAAAACACCCATCGAGAGGAACCGTCTGTTGTACGACCAGACTCCCCTTCTGTCGTGGAGATTTCATGGTCATCTTCCTCATCGGACTGCGACTCACTGTTGCGGGAAGTCGAGGAACATATGGCCGGCCCAAGCGACAACGGTAGCGATGCATATGACAGCGTCTGCCGAATGATCGACGAGGACGTCAATAGGAGCCCTTTTACAGGTGGCAGCGTGTGTGGGGTCGCCGCTTCTCTGGTGGATGCCCCGCTGGCTGCTATAAGTGGAGACCCAGATCAGCCTTCCTTCACAGCTGACACCGTGGCGTCGAGAGTCCGAAATAAGGACATCATCCGGGCGGTGAAGGATGGATGCATTGACGGGAGGTGGTTCGAATACCTCCTCCCAGACATGCATTTTAGGACTAGTATGCCCCCGACCGGATTCCTTCCTGTTTATACCAGGGCCGTTACTGCGGGGATGACCCTTCCGGTTCATCCCTTTGTAAAAGATTATTGCCATTTTTATGGCATTTCCCCCGCCCAACTGGTGCCAAATTTCTGGTACTGCTTTGCTGGCGCCTGGATCTTGTGGAACTAGCAGTTTGACATGGATCTCTCTCTGGACGAGTTTAGATTCATGTACAGACTGTGCCATGTTGCCAAGTACGAGGGGTGGTATTTTCTGAGTGGGCACGGGAGATCTCAGCCCAGATTTAGTAAGCTAATTATGGGCATTCCCTCGTCGTCACATGGGTGGAAACCCATGTTTTTTATGATACGCGGCCCCTTTAATTTTCATCCCGATGACCGCTTGCCCCGCTGAAGGAAGGTGCAGGCGTCGTTTGGGAACATGGGTGAGACTTTGATTCCCTTTCTTTCACCTTACTTCGCTTTCTCCCTTTTTATGCTGACAGTCTTTTTATCCTACAGCCAGACAGGACCGGCTGAAGTTCTCCGGAAACAGTTTGGTGAGGATTGAGAAGGCCTTCTCGTTCCCGTCTGAGGTTCGCCACATTGACACCCTCCTTACCCAGGCCAATCTTCAAAGTGCCGGGTTAATTCTTGATCTCCCAGACCCTACTGACGTCGACTCTGTCCGCGAATACTTCCATTTAAGCGACGAAGGTAAACCCCTGTTGCCGCCGCCTTTCTTGTAATGGCATTTTGTTTATCCAAGCGTCGATTATATTTTGGTCTCGCCGTTTCTGTAGAAATGGCGTCTTTGAGGATTCAGCTTCCCGGTAGTCAGCCGTCTGAGCCAAGCCAGCAGCCCCCGCCGAGCCAACAACCTCCTTCTAAGGGAAAGGATAAAGCTAGCTCTTCTTCTCAAGCACCGAGGAAAAGGAAAGCCACAAAGGTCCCCTCGGCGTCGGAGGAGGATCATGCGCCTAAAATGAGGCGCAAAGAGAAGAAGTCGGTGGTAGAAACTTGGGCGCCGATGGTCCCCATTCCTGACGTACACGTTCCTTTGGCACCGAGGGAACACGTGCTTATCCTAGGGGCAAAAATTATGGATCCTAACTTTCAAGTCCCGGACGTCTCTGACGCCGAGATTAAGGCGATGCTGAAACTTCCTCCTCACTTCTCCCTTGTCTTCCAGGCTCTATATAAGTCTTTTCTCGAGCCGCACTGGGTTGCTGCCACTCAATCTTCTTTGGTTGACCGCCAGCGAAAGCAGATCTCTTTCCAAATTCACGTAAGACTTGATCGAGCTGCCTTTTATTTTTGCTGGTTTCGCCGCTTTGTATCCTTATTTTCTGACCTCCAATTTTTCAGGGCCTAATCCTCGCCATTCTCAACCTTCTCGACCTAGTTAAGGTTGAGGAGTGGGATAAAGAGATGGACATCGTGAAGGCTGAGCTTAACTCTTTTCTCGATGATGCTAAGACTAAGTGTGCAAATGCCGCCAAGGAGAGAGATGTGGCCGTGGCCAAATTGAAGAGTTTGGAAGATAAACTGGCTAGGCTAACCGCCTCGGTTAAGGACCTTACAAAGCGGGTAGATACATCCAATACGAAGTTGGTAGAAGCAACTGAGGTGGTGAAGAGACATTTTGCTGAGGGAAAGGCTGAGGGGAAGAAAGAAGCCGAAGCTGAGGCTGCAGCAGTTTTTGATGCCAAACGTGCAGAGATTATTGAGGAGTTCAAGGCTTCTCCGGAGCTCATCGACATTCGTACCAAATATTTTCAATCTACTAGTCAACAAATCGTCGATTTGATAAAACAAGAGCATCCTGAGTGGGACTTGGGCTTCCTTTATGATGCTCCTCCTCCTGCTGGCGACGACAACTCTTCCCCGCCTGGTGATGACTCGGCAGTTGGGGGCGAGGCCTGAAGATTTTTTTTTTTTTTTTTAATGATGTCTGTAACTAATATGACATTGGTTTGAACCTCTTTTTATTTCATTTGTGTTTTATAAAAAGCAGTAGATTTCATACCTTGCTCATTTGTTTATTATGCATTCGCCTTTCCCTCTTGAATGAGTCGTTGCTGATTTTACTCCTTGGGGTCGTTTATGTTTAGAAAATTTCGTAAAATTTTCTAAGTTTTTCTTCGCCTTTCTTCTTTGGAAGAGTCGGCGTTACCTCTTGCCCCTTGGGGTCGTCGCCTTAGAAAATTTCATAAAATTTTCTAAGTTTTTCCTCGCCTTTCTTCCTTGGAAGAGTCGGCGTTAGCTCTTGCCCCTTGAAGTCATCCCCTTAGAAAATTTCATAAAATTTTCTAAGTGTTTCCTCGCCTCTCTTCCTTGGAAGAGTCGGGTTAGCTTTTGCCCCTTGGGGTCGTCGCCTTAGAAAATTTTGTAAAATTTTCTAAGTTTTTTGCCGGTGATCCATAGATCCCTTATTGCCCCCCTTGTCTGTTTAATATACCTTGGTTTTTTAAGCAGACAAGTTTATTCGAGGGGTGAATTCTTCTTACTTTTGGACAATATTAATATAAATTCATAATTTATTTAAATTGCCAAAAATGTAACTAAGATGCATTTAAAAAATTACATACATTATTGGTAGTACAGCTTTAATTGTTCTGCATTCCATGGATGCTGAACCTTTTTGCTGGAAAGGCTTTCCAAGATGTAAGTGCCGGGCCGCAATACTTTTCTTATTCGGTAGGGTCCTTCCCAAGTTAGGCCCAGAGGACCAATATTTTTGGGTTTTGTACTCTGTGTTACCCCTTTTAATACTAGGTTTCCTGGGGCGAACCTTCATTTTTTGACTTTTTTGTTATAATATCGGGTTGCCCTCTGCTGGTAGGTGGCAAGGCGTAACTGGGAGCCGAGCCTTTTTCCTTCTAATAGGCCGAGTTCTCCATTCATGCCTTCCGTATTACCGTCGTCGTCGTAGACCACAGTTCTTAGAGTCGGCGTCTCAATTTCTATGGGCAGTACCGCCTCGACGCCATATGCCATGGAGAAGGGCGTTTCGCCCGTGGTACTTCGGCTCATCATTCTGTATGCCCACAAGACCTTGGGGAGTTCCTCGGCCCATTTTCCCTTTAGATCGTCGAGCTTCTTCTTCAAGGTATACTTTAATATTTATTGACTGCTTCGACTTGCCCGTTAGATGATGGGTGTATCGGCGCCGAAAAATCCTTTCGAATGCCCAAGCTGTCACAGAACCTTCATGTTGAGGCATTATCAAACTGTTTCCCATTGTCGGACACTATCGAGTGAGGGACCCCGAACCTGCACACAATGTCGTTCCACATGAAGTTGGTGCAAGCTGCTTCCGTGGTTGTAGTCAGAGCCTTTGCCTCTGCCCACTTTGTGTAGTAATCTACCGCGATTATGGTAAATTTAAAGCCCCCGAGTGCGAGGTGCAATGGCCCGATTAGGTCAACCCCCCATTTGGCGAAGGGAATGGAGGTTAAATTTTCTAGGGGTGCTCTAGGAATTGTGGCTTACCTTTGGCACTTATCGCAAAGTCGGGCGTATTAGAAAGCGTCCTTTTTTAGCGTGGGCCAGTAGTATCCTTGCCTCAAAACCTTAAGAGCTAAAGACTGCCCCCAGTATGATTACCGTAAACTCCTTCATGAATTTTTCAGAGGACCCTCTGGGCTTCGTTATCATCCAGGCACCGTTGTAGTGGTGTCGAATAGCCTCGTCGGTAAAGCAAACCGACGTACAATAAGTGCCTAGCGGCTCTATACCTGATCCGTCTGGTTTCGTCATTGTTTGGCAGTTGTGCATCCATTAGGTATTGGATGAGTGGGGTCATCCAATTTTCACCTATTTGGATGATTAGTGCCTCAGCTACTTCCTCAATGGTCGACCGCTCCAGTTCCTCGATGGGAACGACTCCTAGTGTGTCGGAATCCTTCGAAGATGCAAGCTTTGATAGAGCGTCGGCGTTTGCATTTTCAGCTCGCGGTATTTGAAGTATATCGTAGTTTTTAAACTTGACGAGTTCTTCCTTTACTTTCCTCAAGTACGCACCCATTTTCTCACCGCACACTTAGAATTCTTCTTTTACTTGCCCAACGACCAGTTGAGAGTCGCTGAAGATGCTAAGCCTCTCAACCTTTAGGTGACTGGCCAATCACAACCCTGCAATTAGCACCTCGTATTCTGCCTCGTTGTTCGACGCTTTGAATTTAAATCAAACCGCCGAGGTGATCTTGTGGCCTTCTAGGCTGATCAACAAGACGCCGGCTCCTGACCCGTTATCGCTCAACGCTCCGTTCACATAGAGCTTTCATTCTATATTCTCGACTTCTTCTAGCGCGGCGGGGGCCGGTCTATCGGAGAATTCGGCTAGAAAGTCAGCCAGCGCTTGGCCCTTGATCGCCGTTCTTGGTACATACTTAATGTCGAACTGGCTTAACTCTACCGACCATTTGAGAAGCCGATCAGAAGTTTCGGGCTTTTGTAGCGCTTGTCTCAACGGATGGTTTGTGAGAACCCGTATTGTGTGAGATTGGAAATAGTGCGGAAGCTTCCTTGAAGCTACCATCAGGGCAAGGGCCAAGCGTTCCATTTCGGTATATCTTGACTCGGCGTCGAGGAGTCTTTTGCTTACATAGTAAATTGGCAACTGTACCCTTTCTTCCCTTATTAGTACGGAGCTTACGGCATGATGGGACACGAAGAGGTAAAGGCTAAGCTCCTCGTCAGGGTTAGGTTTTGACAGGACTGGGGGTTTACCCAAATGCTCCTTCAATTTCTGGAAGGCCTCTTCACATTATGGTGTCCACTCAAAACGCCTACTTCCTTTCAAAGCATCAAAGAAGGGGACGCACTTGTATGTTGCCTTTGATATAAATCTGTTTAAGGCGGTGACACATCCTGTCAACCTCTGTACCTCTTTTGGTTTAGTTGGGGACTGCATATATGTTGGTCTCCGAATCGAATTCGGATGCGGAAGCATGGTGCGGAGGCGGATCGTGTATAACAAAATTTTCATAAAACCTTTGAGATACTCTATAGATTATATTATTTTATGCACGAATAAATTAATCTCATTAATTCATTTATTAAAAACTCAATTAGGAAAAATACCTGGAGACCGACTCGGATGATAACTTGAGTTCTTTGACCTCGAACAATCCTTGCTCCAAAGCTTTGTGTTTAGAAAACTAATGTCTTACACGTCAATCCCGAGAATCTACGAAGTCGTATGTGTGGGCACACATGAGACAAAACGGGTTACAATAAACACTCAAATTTCCACAAACACCAACGCATGCACGATGTGAAATTTTTGGAGAAAAAATTTTTTCCTTCTCTTTATTAGGGGAATTTCGGCCAGCCTTAACAATTAGGGCTGAAAAATTGTTTTCAAAAATTGTGTCCACAATTTTCTACTATTCTCTTATTTATAGAGTAGAAGTCAAACTTCTAGAAGGAATCCAATCTCTATCTCCAAGATAAAGCTTGTCAATTATCTCCTATTTGAATTTTGAACAAAATATCTTCTTTTTCTCTATTCCTTATGGCCGGCCATTCTAAGGGGATTTTATCCCTGTGTAAGTGCCAATATCAGATAGAGAAGGAAGAGAAAATCATCATTTATCATGTAGTCTAATTTTGACTCAAATTCAAATTCCAATTTAAGTCAAACTTAAATTAATTTGAATTCTAAATTGAACAACTTATCAAAAAAGTTTAAATAGATAAATCTAGATGTGTTCAAATTTAAATTTAAATAATCATATTATTTAAATAATAATTAATTCTTAATTAATTATTTTCGAGCGTTTAATTTTAGAATTCTGTAATTCTAAAATTCCCATTTTTGCCCTATGTGTCTGGTAGAATTACTAGGACGACGCGGGGACTAATAGACCTATAATCCCGAGCTCCAATAAAATTAATAATCAATTAAACACTTTAATTAATTAATTAATTCTATTAATTCCAATAGTTACTCCACTATAAACTTGGAATTGCACTCTCGAAATTATAGACATAAATTACTTCTAAACTATGAAGTGTCCATTTGATATGGTCATTGCATATAGATCAATCCTTTATAAATAATTCATAATTAGAACAAGGTAAAATTTGTTAATCTCTCTAATTAATTCTTTATCCTTGAGTACCATTGATTCTCTAATGGACAGTGATTCATAAAACACATTCATGAATCGGAGCTCCTACTAGTCCAAGTACCGAATCAACCCTCAAGAGAATTATTTATCTACTTCTTTCTTAAGAAGGAATGGATTCCATCTCGTGTAATAACATTCCCGACTACCTACTTCATCATGTCTCCAAAATACAAGGAATAAGACTCAGGATCTCAGAATCCGTACCGAGTAAATCAAAAGACACAAATCCATAAATAGGAGTCTG